CTGTTCTGGACTAAGGAATTGGACGGGAACAGTCTCTTAGGAAATAATCTACAGAATGAAAAAAAATAACAATTACTATCATGTATCGGTCTTTTCTGCATTTTTTCTCACTACTATATTAGTATCTGAATAAGTTTCCCTCAACTATCTACAAACTAGGGAACAAATCATGAGGTAGCTTAAATTAGCATAACTTCAGTGACATTAGTGCTCATAGTCTGGCTCCAGGATTTTTTCTTAGAAGTTGTTAAAAGATTCCTTTTGTTTGCTTCTTCAGGGGAAGTGACCAAGCCTGCTAGAAAATGTTGTGAAAGACTGGCACAGTATTTGTCAAGTTTTAGACTTGACGCATGGAAGAGCAGGTTGAGCTGTTCTGTGGTTTTGTTCTATGACGTTTGTCAGTTGCATACCTGTCATCCAAAATAGACCCCACCCCAGTCTGCCTTTTTTACAACTGTGAAAAGGGTGAGTGATAATTACAATGTCATTGTAAGGTTTAGTAGCCTCAAGAATAATTTACTAGGGCAAGATAACAAGGAAATGTAATAGAAAACATGGTTGACTCATTGTCCAATGTAGAGGAAATGTGTGACTAATGCAATTTATTCAGCTTTAATGTGTAGATTTCTTACTTATCACACGTGGTAATAATAATTCTGTGCACCAAGATCTTGTCACAGCCATAACATTATTCAAGTTGTTGGGAAAAAGGAAATGATAGAAATATAATAAATACAACAGTTTAAAAAAATAATCATATAAAGCAAGTGAGTGTGCACTGCTTACATTTTGTAAGGTGAAAAAATATGGACCTAATACATTTGCACACCACACCATCCAAAAGAGATCTAATTCTGATTAGAGTCTTCAGGTATACTCCCCTCACTTATTCCCAAAATAATAACAACAAAAACTAAGGCATATCCCATATATAAGTGTTTATGATGGATAGGACAACTGTGAGCATGGGTGCCAGAGCATGGCACATGAAGGAATTCTGCTTGGCATGTGTGCCTCAAGGTGGACAGCAGGGAAGGGGCCAGGGCTGTGCTGCCAGAACAAGGATCAGGCCCCTCATGGCTACCCTGGGCTGGAGACAGACATTACACATAAACTGGTTTAAGTAATCAGAAACTGGTTTAAACCTGTAACAGAACAGATGTTCACTGCACATAAAACATTTTGAAAATGGCTGAAATTGGTTTGAGATAAACCTGGTTGAATGCAGTAGCAGACATCTGATTTGGATCAAACTGGTTTATGCCAAACTGGTTTATGCAATGTCTGTCCCAGACTCCTTGCTGGTTTAAATTAAACCCTAGCATCCCCACATGGTCTCTGAGATGGGCAGGGCTCTCTGCTCCACAGCAGGGCTGGCCCCTCCCTTCTGCTCCCTGGCTGGAGCTCTGGCATAGACTGCCTAGCTTCTGCTACCCCCTCCCCTCTAAGCAGGGATTTCACCATCCCCTCTGCCTTACACAGACACACAGTATTAGCTAGCAGACCACATGCTGGCTACAGCTCGTGGGGACAAAGGCAGAATCAACAGGTAGCTGGTAATGTCTCTCTGTTGTTTTCTTAATGGGGTGATAAAAACTGAGTTAGGGGTGATAAACACTGTGCTGGTCAGGAGGTGTGGGGGAAACCCCTCCCTAATCAGAGCCTCCTGCTGGGACCTGGCCATGCCCCCCTCAGCTCAGCATCATAGAAAGGAAGGGAGGACTGCTCTAGCGCACCCTGGCTTCTAGCCTGAGGCACTGCAGGCATGTGCCTACATTTTTTCAGTCCAGAGGGAATGTCTGTATGGTTACAAACCAGTTTAGCCTAACCAGGTTAGACTAACTAGCAAAGATTGAATCAATTCAGGCTCAGGCTTTTTGAATGTCTGTCCCTAGCCCTGTTGTCCGTTCCTGGCATGCCAGCATCTTACAAGTTGAGGTTGTGAGTGCTTTTGGCACTCTGCCCAAAAACGTTGCTGACCCCTGGTTTATGATATCAGTAATTAAAACAATGAGGATCTACTGGAGTTACACAGTCCCAACACATATTTTAATCATTATTTCAGTTGTATCAGAGGTGTGCATGGAAGCATACAGAACACAAAGGAAGATACAGGACCTGACCTGAAGACCATACTGGCTAAAGGCCTAATCTGACAAACTGTTGCTCACGTTAATTTTCTTGTTGGAGATAATCCAGAGCAGGGGAGCAGAGGTGGGGGTGCACAGGGAAGAGAAAGGAGGAGGAAAAGTGGTACAAGGTGTATGTGAATCCCATCCTTCCCAAAACCTAAGAGAAATGAGAGGTCAGGTAGGCAATGGTGGAGAGAGTGACATGAGACTCAAGCAAAAGAAGACACGCAATGCTACATAGAATAGATAAAGGTATATAGGAAGTAAATCCAGCAAGAGCATCACTTGTTACTAGGACAGGAAGCACTGCCTTAGACCCTGGGCTCCAAATTTTGTCCTATGGACAATCTGAAGTCCATTGGTCAGATGTAGCCTGAGCACAAAGTCCCACCCAGGTGCAACACATTACAGTATAAAGGCCTGAAGAGAGGTGATTCAAACACCCCCTGATCTCAGAAGGAGGCTTTTAAAGCTAAATATATACTAAAACTGAAAGACAGAGATGGCCAGATACTCATTTATTTTAGGTAAGTATAGGGGTCCTGCACCGACAAAATCAAAACTTCAGAGGTGCATCTGCCAACTTGTCAGACCACCCCAGAAGAACTGCCTGGTATATAGTTCTCAAGCCTTTGTTGGCCAGTTTATTCCTCACTACAGTTTATCACCTTCACAGCCTGGTCTGTCTCTAGTTTTGTCTGACATCCCCCGAGTGTTTGGGGAGCTGTTCTGTAGATGACCTTCTATTTGAACCTCCCTATTTCTAACCTGGTTTGTTTGTTGACTACGCCTTTTATTTCTTGAGTTCTGTTATAGTTAAATAGAGGACAACAGCAAGCATTAAAGGCTTAGCCAGGAAGCTATAATATTCTTCTCATCCTGTCTAAAGCAGAAAATTGTCCTTTAAGGTCTGTCAAAAAAGTTAGAATCCAAACACAATACAATTCCCAAGACAACCTACTACACAACTGTCTGAGATCTGAGTCCTTTGCATTTATGCAAAAGAGAACAGGAAGCTTGACCTATTCAACCACGTGAATATATTCTGGCTACTGGAGTAAATAATGTTGGGGAGGAGACTCAGAGGGGAAAGTTGATTCCTGCTTCTGCTTGTCAGGATTAAGGAAGTCCTATGTGATCAAAACAAATGTACTTCCTAAAAAATTACCTGATGGAATTCCTAACTTTAACTTGGTCTTGAGAGGTCCCAGGAAAGCAACCAACTTCAAAACCAAAGTAGTTTATACCAGTTCTAGTCCTGGTTATTGTAGCTGCCACAGCCTACATCTACCACCTGAACCCAGAGGCAGCATAGTTGTATCCATGCAGCATGTGTCCAGGTGAATTAGCTCTGCCTCTCAGCAGAGCAAATTATAGTCTAGGAGTTAGAAACCTATGGACCAGAGGCCAGATTTGGTCCATGGAGCTACTGAATTTAGCCTATGGAGCTGGGGAACTTCACCCATGCTGGTCAGTGTGGCAAAGTAGTGGCAGCCAGGTCCTAGCAATGGCTTGAATCAGACTTGAGCTGGGTGGTTCTGGCCTGATGCCAGAAAACATGTCTGCTTGCAGCTATAGCTACATTCAGATGGTAGAGAGAGGCTGACCCACATGGAAAGATGATGACAAAATTGTTACTAAGTCTGAAGAACAATAAAATGTTACACGTCCGTTTAATTATGTATAACATTTTTTTTGTTCTAATATTGAAGATAATATTTTACATTTGGACTTTTCAGGGGAAATCCTGATGGGTGGCAACTTTAATTTTTCCTGATCCCCCCCTACTTGGACTAGATAATGTTGTACAAAAATGAACAGGACAGTGTGGCTGTTCCAACCATCCTCTTTTTCTACCCAAGAGGCCCTTGTTTTCTAGACTGCTAAACTAAATTTTTTCCACTCTGCCTATCTGTTACTGTTCAAATGATATTGAATCATCAGCAGCAACCACAATATTGTACTAAGAACCATTAGATTACAAGTACTTTACAACTTGAGCAGGAATAATTTCCAAGACACTTGCAGGGACCTAGAAAAGTAGTTTTTCTATGATGCAAAAATAAGTAACTTGAGAAATGCCAAGCTTTTGGCCCTACTGTGAGATGTATTACTTAAGCCTCTAAGCACAGAACCATCACAACCAGGACACGATGAATTATTGATTGGGGAAGAAAAAAGAAAGATTCTGCAGAATTCCAATTGCTCATGAGATGGAAGCAGATGTTTAAAATATACATCAAAATGTCATCTTTTTTAGGAAAATTTCATCATTTTTAGGAAAACTGCAAAAAAGTCCTACACATTTTCTTAGTGTTGTGTCACATTTTGAGCAGTTGCTTGAGATGGGTTATGTGGTAGGGGTGTGCAAAACAGGCCGTATTCGATTCGGATTCGGCCTGAATCAGGGACAGTGATTTGATTCATTAATTCGGATCACTACCCTGATTTGATTCAGATGAATCTATATCTGAAGACTTAATGCTGATTCGATCGGCCTCAGGGGACACTAGGTATCCCTTCCAGACCTAGGAGGCACCAATCGCTGAGCCGGGGGCGGGGCGGGGTCCCCTGCTCACTCCGTCATACCTGGAAGTGAACTGGAAGTGCTTCTGGTTGACTTCTGGGTCCGTTGCTGAGCACTCTGGGAACACCCACACTCCCGTGGGACGCTCCATCTGCCCCAGCATCTCAGCATTCATGAGCCGCCTGGTACCTTGAGGTATATAGAAAAAACATTTAGAGTTGTGTGTATGTCCAAATCATCAAATCCCTCCGAATTGATTCAGAGGGTTCCGATTCAATTCAGAGAGATTAAAGAGTCTCCTGATTCAGTTCAGATTCAGAGATTTGGCTGCTGAATCAGGCCAAACCTCTGCTGAATCAAATCAGTAACCGATGTTTCGCACAGCCCTATTACATGGTATGTTCTCTTTCCTCTCTGTGCCTGCTTCATGTAATCAGGAGTGTTAGCTGAAACCATTTGACTTTTTTTGGAGGGACTGGCAGTGGTGACAAGCAGGGTAATCCTCATTATGTGAGGAGTGGTCACTTAATTTACCACTGAGGATTTGTGGGGCTGCTGCTAGTACCCTTAAGGCACTGAGATGAGAGGACCATCTCTATCAAGGATGCCAGTGAGAGATATCAGTCCTTTCCAGCAAGAAGTCATACAGGAAGACAAGTATGGATAGGAAAGAAGGGAAATTGTGTGGAGACAGTGGGTGATTTGACCTTGTGATATTCTTTGTAAGTTCAAAGAGTTGATGTAAACTTTCATACTTTGAAGATTCAGTGATGACCAATCATTAAAGCAACAGAATAACAGAATGTTTGGATAAATTGTAGCTGTTTTAGTGTGTGCTTTTCTGTACTGTTTGGTTGTTTTCTGAATAATCTGTTTTATTATACTGGCATTTGCAAGATTCCAATTTGGGGGAGAATTGGCAAATACTTAATATTACAAAAAAGCTTTTATAACAGGTTGTAGTATACACTTTGTATGCCCCTTACAATGATTGCAGGCTATAGATCAAACTGGCTGGCATATAAGATACCACCATAAAACGACTGCACCATGGAAGAATTCTGCATTCTCTCTGCAAAATACACTACCAGTGTTCCCAAACTCAGAAGAGGATTGCACTGTACTGCTGTAGAATGAAGTTAGAATTTGTTCCACAATGATCAAAGAAACAGAGAACTAATAAAATCAAATTACAACAAAGCAAAGGAATGAGTCTGAATGTCTTCTCCTAGCACTAAAGGTAGAGAGCCCTGGTTTTTGCCAGTTGCACTCCTAAAACTTTAAGCTTCCTGAAATTAGCTGGGAGATTCATTGTGGTGCAACTATAAATCTTTGAAAAAGACAAGCACATTGAAATGCACACCAAGGACTAAATTCTTTGGTCTAGCTTGCATGGGACAGGAAAATTTTGGGAGTGTTGAATTAGAGTAGCTTTCAGGCTGCTCACAGGCATCTTCCCGACACCCTACTACACTCATTCTTGTAACTAGTAGTCAAGCATTGCTGGGGGATAGGAATATATTCCCATGCCCTTTTCCCTGGTGAATGCCCTGGTGTTGGAGTATAACAAATAAGCATAAAGCACCTATGCCACCCACAAGAGGAATCTTCAGGATGTTGCACCTGTTAGCTTAAATTTTAATTTTGCAGCAGTGGAGTGTACAACTATGAAAAACTGGTAGCGAAACACCTTTTGGTCTATGAAAGTAATAGCGTATATTGCTACAGGCCTTTTTTAATGCAGGCTTTGCCCCATGTTTAGCTATGTAAATATGAACTTTATCTGAAATACAATAGAGCAGTTTGGCAAACATTACACAAGGGAACTACTTCAACCTTCTGTTCCTGCTGTTGCCTTTAAGGCCATCAAATTTTCTTCTTAAAGAGATAAGGGTGTTTCAACATCCATTGTTGGTGCTAGTAGTGCAATTTAAGGCAATGTGCCAAAAGAATCCTTTGGACTCTCACATGTTGAAAGAAGCCTTGTCCTGGTCTCTAAGGCATAGATCTGTCAGTACATAAGTTCACTAATCATCATGACCAATTTTTCTTCTGTAGAACAAAACCTTGTAGAGAATCCAAGGATGGAGAAAATGTCAGTTAAAAGTGGCAGCATTGAGATAATTGATGAGAAAACTACTGCCACTGTGTTTCTCTTCACACATACATGCTCTAGATCTGACCAGTGGTGTTTTGTTTCACTTGTGATCATGAGGTTTTCTCAGGAGCTTTGGGCCAGAGCAGCTTTAAATTTTGACAGCAGGATGATATGTGAACAAAAGAAAGAAAATTCACAACATTTATGAATTGGTATAATTAAGCACCTGTAGTAAAAGCTAACAGGCTTTTTTCCCCAAGGGGAACAATTAGGGAGTGGGTTCCTAATTCTTCCTGATTCTTACCAGAGATCTCCAACTTCCCTGCTGCAGCATAGGTTAGAGTAGCCTTAGTGCCTCTCTGACTTACATTAGCCCCAAAGAGCCACACTGAGCATAACTGTAGAACACTACTTTGACTATGACCCTCCCTATCATGATGGATTCCAGCATACTATTAAAAGAGGACAAGACAGTGGCTAATACATCATCTGTGTATTTATTGAGAGCTCACCCCTATCCAGAGGGCGTTCTTTGTTGGATATTTTTCAGCATTTTGGGCTTTGTTCGAATGATACAAAATGGCCATATTGTCACCAGAATCTGACCCCTTATCTTTTTCTTCAGCTACGTTTGTTGAATTTGCTTAAAAGACAGAACTGAAAAGATGAGTATGGAAGTTAACTAGACCTTTAACAGAAATGCTTGCACTTTCTTTCACCATCTTGAAAAGTGACATGACTTCATATATGGAAAACATGATCAGCAATTAAACAAATTGGACATTATCCCTGTCAACATTAGTAGCATTTGATAAATGTTCCCATTGAAACTTGTAAACAGAGAGCTTCTGAATAAGCTAAGGGAAAATGAGGACATGACTCTCTCAGGAGTGGTATTAGATGCTGTTCTCACGGTTGATTCTTTTGTAAACACAAACACTGAAACATCCTTTTAAAAAACATGACTATGCAATGCCAAATGATCATAGATGATCTCTGTTCTCTCTGTAAGCATTTGTTTTGTTTTCTCTATGCACCATTGCTGGAAATTAGACTTGGCGGGGAGGGTGGTTAGGAAACTGTTTGTGTTAGTTTATGAACTTGAAAAAGAGAATATTTTCTGTTGCTTCCTCTTTTTTTTTAAAGAGAAACAAAGGGTTTGGGGTAAAGTCTGTCACTGAAGCAGCTGTACAGTTGAACAAGATGTTTGACAAGCTTTTGGATGCAGAATGCCCTTTCTTAGGCACTCAGGCACTTGAGGAAAGGCTCCTGTGTCTTAAAGCTTATCTAACATCTTTCCCAACTATACATCTGATACACCTATACAGATATTACTAAAACTGAAACCCAAAACACTTTTTATTCTCTGACATTCCCTGGACCACGGCAGCTGTAACAGCACTCCAACTTTCTGCTTTTAAGAACAGTAGTATGGAAGTACTAAGAACCATGCCAACTTCAGGTGATCTGTTGATAAATAATTTTTAAAATATCAGGGGTAGTAATGTACAGAAAGAAATTATACTATTTCCAAGGCTGATTCTTTTTATTTTGAGAAACAAATATAAACAACATACCGTATACCAGTTAAACAGGACCTTGCCTACATAGTCTGGAAAACCCAACTCCAGTTTGTGGAAGTCAAAAAACCTGTTTTGGATCCCTGTTCTGGCCTCCTTGAGAGTTATCTTTTGCTAGTTGTAGCAATATAAAGGAGACACAAAGTCAATGTCTCTGGTAAGGGCATTCCCTGAGTGCATTAGACCTGCTGCTCCTCCCTCTCAGTTCCTGGCGCAGAAAATGCTGGAGCATTCCTGTGTGCAGGGTTTGTGGCCCAAGTACCACAGCATTTCTCAAGGGACCATTCTGGCTGGGTGTAAGTGAAGCCCTCTGCCTACTGTAACATACTCATGGGACCAGACCTCCGGCTACCTCCAGAGTCTGTGCGTCAAATGTGGTTCCTTCCTTAGCTATGCAAAACTCAGCTCAGAACCTGGGCCATAGTCTTGTTTTACTCTGTTTTCTGTGTGATATTTATCTTGAAAAAAATATTTCCTTCTCAGTTTGACTCTTTTTTTTTTGGCAACCATTGATTTCCTGCCTCCACACATTTTTTTTGAGTGAAGATGACACTAAACTGGCTGTGTTGACTCATGTAGTATCAGGACAAAATAACTTTGTTCATGCTCTGGGAACCACGTTAACTGCCCCTCTAGAACTAATGAAAAGAAGAGAAACCTTTTTATAGGCCTGCCAAAAACTAGTGGCTAACACTGGCTTAGTTTTAATTATTTAATTTCTCTTAGTAGGCTTAAAAAGAAAAAAAAGGACCTACAAGATACTTTCTATACATTTTGTAACAATTTAAAGGGGGAAGTTAAACTTAGACTGCAAAAGCTTTATGGTATTTTCTGTAAAACTGTTTTCTGGTTCAACTGTATTTGGGTATTTTAGGGATGAAAGTGGGAGTGCTTATTCTACTTGTTAGCATATAAATACCCAGAATCCTTTTCTGTCTTATTCAAGTTCTTTAATCATACTGATGCCCAAGAAGCCTTCCATTTGAGTCAGTGAGGTTGGTCTGGACTCCAAGATCTGTAATCCTATAAAGAGGAATTTTTAATAGTCTTTACTCATGCCAGAGGTCCCTTTATAATTGTGCCTAGGTTCCCTCCTCAACCAACTCCTACTATACAAAGCTGTGCACTAGTGGAATGTCTTTTTCAAGGCCAGAACTAGGGTGTGGTGCCATGTGCACATCCTCACAGAGGTCCTGGCACTTCATTCAAGAGTGAAGGAATTACTGTTACAGGGCTTTGGGATCTTTTCTGCAGACAGGTTCTGAGTAAAGTTTACAGAAAAATGGAGCACTGTTTGCAGTAATTGTTAAAATGATAGATGGAGCTGGGGAGAAGATGGGCTTTAAAATAAAAAGATAATAAATTAAGCATTTTATTTATTTACTTAAATCTTGAACACCTTCAACTTTTTTTATTTTGCTCACGCAAGATCCCAGTTTGGTCTATTAAACAAAAAAGTGGTATTTACTTGTGAAAAAAAATGTGAATTCCTCAATATCTGAATTTCAAGGAATGCTGAAAGATGGACTGCAGTCTGGGTAGGCAACAGAATGCTATACGAGTTCATTTCACTTTATTTCAGTGTATGTTTTACTTTGTGACATTACCATATGAAAAGTACTCAGAGTAATGCAACATGTTAAACCTATCTCTGCCTCATCAGCACTACAATTTGTAAAAAAAATTGCACCTTATAGACATGTCAAACAGCTTTTTGCTTATACCCAGAATATGTATCTTAAAAAAATAGATCCTCTTTGAGCACATATCTCTGTTAAGAATTAATTGCAACATTTAGGACTAGTTGACAGTCATTTTATTAGCTGGTAATCTGTGATGTTTGCTGTGTTGCAGAATGTCACAGGTATTCTTTGGTGCATACATACACCAAAAAGTTTTGATTCTACAGGCTAGGGAATATTCTGCAGTAGGTAACACTTGTACTAAGTATCACAGCTGAAAAACTTTTTAAAAAAAATTGGGGCGTGTGACTTGTTGAATATTTGTTAGTGCTCACAGAAGTGACAGACAACCATAACTCAGGCAAGTACTTTACACTTTTTTAAACTGCTGTCAGTGTTTTTTAGTCATTATTTTAGTATTGCCTGTTCCAAATGAGAAAGGGAATCATGCAAATTGTGCAATAGCTTTGTAAATATGGACTGATCTTGAGAGTTTGACAGTTGTGAGGAAATCTTAGCTCATTTTGCATGTACTCTGTAATGTAAGAAAATGCAAAACCAGTTTCCTGGATGTCAGAGTCCAATACATTAACCTGTTGTTACACTAGTCAAAACATGTTTTTAGCATTTTGAAAATTATGTTTAATTTCATATGGGACAAATTCAGGAAGATTTTTAGATGGGACAAGGAAACCCACTGGGCTGCAATTTCTTCTGCATGGAGCTATATTCTCATATAACGGACTCCAGTAACAAGTATGTTAGCATTTTCATGGCCTAAGGTGCGTAAGTTCACTGTTCTAGAGGCTTTACATCTTTCTACACATTGCTTTCAACAGCGTCAGTTCAGGTTGGCCAACTAAAATTGCAAATATAGCAGAAATCAGACAGGCTTTACAGATGATATCTGTACCTTGGCATTAGAATGAGGGTTTTTTTCATGAACGCTTTACCTACCCACAGTCAGTACATGCAGACCCTCATCTGATTGGTCATTTTGTGAAAAGGCAGCATGTAGGTCACTTTTTGCTCCTCTTTTGTGTCGTCTTGGGTGTATGTCAGCATGCTGTAGTAGGACACAGAATCGTGAATAAACACAAACCTGCAAGCAGACATTGTGCCTTCAGGGTAAACTTCTGGAAAACTCAGAAGACTTTGTTTTCCCTGAAAGCAAAGTGTGTGTGTGTGTGTGCACGTGTGTGTGATGTTTGTATGCATAGGGGTGTATGTGATGTGTTTCTATATGTGTGTGTGAGAGAGACGTCTGTATGCATGGAGTGTGTTTCTGTGTGATGTGTATGCAGTGTGTGTGCATGTGATGCTTGTATGCAGTGTATGTGAGCGATGTTTGTCCATGTGATTTGTGTATACAGTATGTGTATGTCACAGGTGTATGCAGTATGTGTATGGGGTGCAGGGGGTAGCAATGCTTGTGTGTAACATCTGTATGCAGTGCAGGTGTGTATGTGGTATGTGTCTATGTAACCTGTGTATGCAGTGTAGGTGATGTGTGTATGCAGCTTGGGTGTGTGGCAATGCTTGTGTGTGCCTGTGTGATGTAGTGTGTGTTTATGTGATGGGGGGGTTGTGATGTTTGTGTGTATCTGTCACTTTTGCATGCAGTGTAGGTGTGTAGTGTGTCTGCCCCCAACACACACACACACACACACACACACACACACGTGCGCGATTTTTGGAGTAGAGCAAACATCACCGCAGAATGTGACCCTTCCCTTTTCCCGACACAGGCACCCCCAGACTCTTTCTTTCTTTCCTTCTTTCTCCTTCAGAGCTCGTTGCCGGCATGAACTGCGCTCTGCCTCCCCTGGGGGGTCAGACAGCACACGGGGGGGGCCTGAGGCCGGGACGGCGGCGCTCGGAGGGGCCGGCGGGCTCCGCGCCGGGTTTTCTGCTGCTCTCCCCTTGGCCCAGTCTCCCCCCGCGCGCGCACGCACACGCACACGCGCAGCGCGGCCCGGACTGGGCGGCGAGGGCGGTC